GTTGCGTACGAATTTGCTGATTTTATCTCCATCTGATACATCTCTTATGACATCATTGATTGATGCCTATTGTTGGGAAACCTATTCACTTGATCACGTGATTCAGAACTTGCACACGTTTGACTTTGATCTTATTTCCATACTGTATCAGTTCACTAAAGTGGCTGTATCATGTAAGGAATCTTTAAGATGAGATAATTATTTGGTGGGCATGCCGCTGACTGGACAAAATGTTTTTGGTGGGTTTGATGCTGGTTGGTCAAATGTTTTTGGCGGGCTCAATGCTGATTGGGCAAATGTTTGTGTCGGGCTTGATGGTGATTGGTTGATCTAGTTGACACATATTTTAACATTTCAATCCGCCCCCGTCTCTGACTTGTATAAATACAGATGGTTGTCCTGTAGTTGAGTCATTCGTTCATCGAATACAGTGCTGATGAGTTGTTCTGCCTTCGCTTCCTGGAAGATGGATTCCCTTTACGAGCGACGGGTGAGGAAGAATTCCGCTCTTCCTGCTGACCCTCCTCAAGTTGTGCTCTCTTCGAACGCAGTACCGGCTAAGCGTCGCTATGTGCCACCTGCTCCTACCAAGCTCCACAAAGAGATTGTGGTGGATGGGTTTCAGGAGGACATGCAACTGTCCTACAAGTCATCAGGTAGATCCTTCTACAAGCCTGGTTATAAGATGTACTTCCCTTCAGGAGCTCTACCAGCCTGTGGTAGTACGGCAACAGCTCGCAAAGATGCTCAAGGACAGGTTTACATCGACCTGAATGAGTCCACTGAGTTCATCATTACGAACTTGATCAAGACTTGTCCATCGCTCCGTGACACTCTCCGAAGAGGACGTGTGGAGAAGATCAAGACCAACTTCTACCCATCACGTTCGTCCGACGGTCAATGTCGGGTATACATCAACGGTGAAAGCAAGCTAGTCCCGACCAGCTCGTTCGAACTGGATGTGGAACAAGATGTTTTCATCTACCCCGGGGCAGTCTCCTTCGACCTTGACGAGCAGGCGTTGAAGGTACGTCTTACTGTTGCTCCAATCGTCTGCATCTACGTGGAGCCCAGATGTTTTCATCGTGCTCTGGACGCGCACATGACACTTTCTACCACGGAACTGAAACAGCTAACTGAGAGCTTCATATCATTATGCAGTGTCGTCGTTCAACAAGACGATCAGCTGGTAGAGAGCTTCCAATAAGTCTTTAATGAACTGCATTCTTTATCAGACAGCTGATCATTCATTCTTATCCTATCCTATTTGACTGTATACTACTTCCTACTGCAATATATCATTATATTCAAAACTTCTAGAAAACAAGTATGGGTGGTGTTGTGTCGAGTAATACATCCACGGAAGAGTGCTGCCTTGCCTCTTCTGATTCTAGCGTCCCCACTGATACTAGTAGGGTATGGGTTGCAGGATGTGAAAAGAATGGAATTGGAAAAGATGAGCCAGGTTGATTTCATGTGCGCACCATCAAGGAATGCGTCAATCATGACAAGGTTCCATCATGAATGTGAAGACTTCGAGACTCGTCATGCCTTTGGCATGGACCATTTATTCGTTCCAGATTCACCGTTGTTTCACGAGTGGACATCTGCTAAAAAAGTTGCAATGAAAAAATAAAATAAATGAAAACTCCAAGCGCGTTTTGTACGGTCATACCTCAAAAAGAAGAAGATTAAGTTCCAATACGAAGCTACCAAGTCCGATTTGAACAAGGTGGCGGGGCTCGAGTCTCTCAAGTGCCGGTGGCAATTCATGTTATTATTATTTTATTTATTTTACTAGGGTGTTTCCCACAGACCATGTGTTTGGTTACGCTGCACAAGCAGCGCATTACTTTATCCCTTCCACTAATTGTTATCGGCCAATCAGCATACTCTCACCACCTCGCATCCAATCAGCATACCCACGTCACACTAACGTTACACAAACTCGTCTCATTATGCGAAAAAATGGTACTGAATCATAGCAACATCCTCCTGGATAATGAACAAAATAACGATTAATCTACATATTTCGATATGTGCAACAGGACTAAAATCGATGGAGTTACGACAGTTTTACGGTATGTACACAATATCAGTCGTTAATGACTGATGCACCGCAAAGGGTTAAAACACAACAACCGACAACAACCGACAACAACCGACAATAACCAACAACAACACCCAACAACCGACAACAACCGACAACAACAACCAACAACAAACAACAACAACAGCCAACAACAACCAACAACAACCAACAACAACCAACAACAACCAACAACAAACAACAACAACCGACAACAACCGACAACAACCGACAGCAACCGACAACAACTACCAACAACAACCAACAACAACCGACAACAACAGCCAACAACAGCCAACAACAACCAACAACAACCAACAACAACCAACAACAACCAATAACAACTGACAACAACCGACAACAACCGACAACAACAACCAACAACAACCGACAACATCCGGCAACAACCAACAACAACCAACAACAACCAACAACACCACCCAACAACCGACAACAACAACACCCAACAACCGACAACAACACCCAACAACCGACAACAACCGGCAACAACAACCAACAACAGCAAACGACAACCGGCAACAACCGACAACAATACCAAACAACACCCAACAACAACCAACAACAGCCAACAATAAACAACAACAACCGACAACGGCCGAAAACAACCGACAACAACCAACAACAACCGACAACAACCAACTACAACCAACAACTAGCAATCGACAACAACCGACAACAACATCCAACAACAACCAACAACAGCCAACAACAACAACCAGCAACAACTAGCAACAGCCGACAACAACGGACAACAACCGACAACAACCAACAACAACCAACACCAACCAACAAGAACACCCAACAGCCGACAACAACACCCAACAACCGACAACAACCGACAACAACAACAACCAACAACAACCAACAATAACCAGCAACAACCGACAACAACATCCAACAGCCAACAACAACCGACAACAACACACAACAACAACCAACAACAACCAATAACAACATCAACAACGACGACGATAACGACGACGACAACCGACTACAACATCAACAACAACCAACAACAACCAACAACAAACGACGACAACAACCGGCAACAACCGACAACAACAACCAATAACAACATCAACAACGACGACGATAACGACGACAACAACCGACTACAACATCAACAACGACGACGATAACGACGACAACCACAACAGTGTCCGGTAATGTGTGGTAGAGAATGGCAGTCAGCCAGACTGATTACAGTTGAACATGTATAATAATAATAACACATTTCGCGTAGTTGAGCACTAAATAAAGAAATTCAGTTTTTTTCCCCCACTTCTGTCTTGTGAGCATCATCAGCAAGGTGTAGTAGCTGCTGATACTGATTTGTCCTCGAGTGTCGAGCTGCACAGTTTCTTCCAGTCTGTCTTGTCCTCTGCATGGTCTTCATGGGCACACCCAGCTTATTCAACTGAGCGACCAGACTTGTGGCTAGTGTCAACCTTGGCCACCCACGAGGTGCTTTGTTGTCCTTGTCCAAATAGCCGCTCATGGCTACTTAGGGTGGCGTGTCCGTGTCCATCTGTAGCACATGACTGGTCATTCGTAGTCGCCTACACGCAGCGGTGTCATGTATTACTACAAGAACTCAACCAAGTCCTCAGCAGTCATGGAGTAGCGGCAGGTTGGGCAAGTTGGGCTGGAGGCAGAACTGATCCACTCCTTGATACAGTGGAAGTGAAATTCATGACCACACTCCAACTTGGATAGAGGACGGTTCAGGGTATCCTGACAAATCACACAAATGGGCTCATGACTTATTGCTGACGAGTCTACCTTAGTAGGCACTACATTGATGTACTGCAGCTCCATGGGGTGTATTGCCTGGTCTTGATGGTGGTCACCGTAATACACCCCGTTGAGGTACCACTGATAGATACCCTCCTCCTGAGAGATGAAAGCAGGCCCATCTTCCCTATGCCGAAGGTTGTATCGGTACCACTCCCGTACACGGTTGTTACCTTCCCTGCGTATCACGGCTGGCGCATTCTCCCTGTGGAGCCGGTCGTGATAATACCACTGGATGGTGATACCATCATCACTCCGAGTGATCCTGGCTGGTCCGTCTACTCTGTGTAGACGCCCTTGGACATACCAGGCTTCCAGCAAATAGGCGCCATCAAATCTCTCCGTCAGAGCAGGGCCGTCGCCGATCCTTTGTCTGACGCCATTCCAATACCACTCTTCGCGGTGTCGGTAGAACCCCTCAGAGTCTTCACCAAGGTCTGAAAATGTTTCCACTGCAGGGCCATCATACCTGTGGAGTCTTCCGTGGTGATACCACCGTAGAATACCGCATGTGGCGTCATAATAACTGACTGCAGGACCGCCGGCTCTATGACGGGCGCCGTTGAGGTAGTACTCTATGCTACCCCGTCCTATCCAAGCCGGTTCATTAACGCGATGAAGGCGACCTCCATAGCACCAGGCGGACACTCCCCTACTATCAACAAGAGCTGGTCCGTCCTCCCGATGGAGTCTACCATCGACGTGCCAAATTTCTTGCTGCGCGTTTTGATCTGCCAACTCCACAACTGTTCTTATTGGCGTCCGCCTTTCTATTAGTAAAGGACCCGTGGTGAGAGACCACGACCGGTCGTCCAAGTCTACACCGAATGTATCAGCCATATCTATTTACTGAGAATAATGTAACAACTCCTCCACAAACGCTTCTACAACTGACGTCTTCTTCATCCTGGTTTTTTCCTCTTGGTGGTTTTGGATAAGAGTTGAAAAGTCCAAAAGGTCAACTGATGACCTTTGCGTTACTTGGTATGATTGGGTTTTAGCGGATGATGTCGGTATGCAGCTGGGGAGCGAATTTGACAGGAAGAAGGTAAAGGTCTTGCTTTGCGGTTCACACCTTCACTTCAGTATCATTATCCTGAAAACAGCCCAAATGAGGTTCACGTGTCACTGTGGCGTTCGCCTTACAGGGGTAGTACCCCTGTTTCAACACCTGAGGCGGTGCGTCAAGCGCCGCCTCTTTCTAATCATATATTGCGATAAATGGTAAGTGTGCAGTGCTCCTAGCTCTCTCCCCCAACAAAAGAGCTCTATGACACTGTGCTTTCTGCGGTTTCTTTCGTTTTTACAGTGGAGAAAGGCTGGTGGGAGGCCAGGCCGTGGCCGCACACCTGGCGGGTGCGGCCCATCGGGCCCGTTACTGGGAGGGCCGGCAAGTCGGGCTGCTGTTGCAGTCCGACTACCGGGACGCCATGGAGCGTATCCGGACCCTGTAAGTAAGCACTGCTCTGTCTACATGTATACTTACCCCCCTCGTTATAGCGATACTTACTTGTTTCGTATCCTCTTGTCTTACCCTGCTTCCGTATTCGTGACACTAATAGTGTTTGTGTGCGCTCATGCTTGGTTTTACAGATGACGTATGTATGAAGGTCTGGAGCTAGCTGCCGTCTTCGGGATGTGCCATTTGTTTTCAAAATTATTTGTAAGTACTTGTAACAGGCGTAGTGTAGTAACTGTGTATGCAGTGTAGTAACAGTGTGTGGTGTTTTGTGATGGTCCTGAGCGGTCGTAATGTGTTTTGTGATGGTCCTGAGCAGTCGTAACGTGTTGGGCTACTGAAGTACACTGCATGAAGGGGTATGTGTGGGTGCTTCGACATATTCTCGTGCTTCCTAAACCCTAGATACGTGTATAGCACTATAACCTAGATGTGTGTGTGTGCGTGTGTGCGTGTGTGTGTCCGCGCATGCGTGCGTGTGCGTGCATTGTGTTCTCTACTACAGACTCATCCAAGTCAATTATTTAAATAAAAGTGTATTATAGTAAACAGTATTGTGTTTTGTTATGGTGAATATGTGGGGAATGGTGGACATGCCTTAGTGTGACTGGATACCCGCGGGTTGTGACTCTTTGCTGGCCACTCTGGATTCTCCAGTATAGATTCGGTACAGTGCAGAGGGGATTTGTGGTGCGTAGCAACACTGCTTCACTGTGACCCCCCTTCAATAATTGTTTTAATGCATGATACTCCGGGCGTAGCCGGTTGATTCTTACTGTATCCCGATTAAAATAGAAATAAGCATCTAATGTACATGCATGGATAGTTGGCATTTCCCAAATCGGCCGGGCGAAAAATTCGCCGAAAACAGTGGTTTTGAAGAAATTACCCATCTTTTTGCCGAATTTTCAAATTTCGCATGTTGAATTCGCCGAAAACCGATGTTTCAGTGCTTCACAGAGTGTGTGTAAATGACTAAATGTACATGACGTAATAGGACCGGTGGGTTCAAGTACTACGTTGAGCCGAATTCTGATCTTGGGGTTCATAATATGGCCGAATTTGAACATTCTCTTACCGATCGAAAAGCCGATTAGACATGCTCTGTATGGGCAACTTGTCAATCAGTGCACATCTACGATGTGTGAATAAAACAAATGCAAGGAGCGTGAACTTGTTTGCTGCACATCTACGAAGTGCGAATCAGGGAGTAGTATAATGACACGTGTACTAGTACACCTTGTGTTGCACTGCGTCTTTTCCACACGCAGGGCCACTGAAGGTCACACGCTCCGCGTGCGTATGCACGCATGCGCAATATGTCACTTCACGCAATGCACATCTAGTGCAAATCAGGGAATAGTACGTATTTTACTACTCCACGGTGCGAATGCACCGAACGTGCACAAGTGCACGGTCGCCACGGAAAAGAACATGATGACATTTATGACATGGCAGGGCCAAAGGTCAAACCCTAGGGGGTCCCGGGGCCAGACCAAGCGCGCCCGATACAGTGTGCCTTATTTAACCCAAAGGTCAAAGGTCAAACCCTGGGGAGTCCCGGGGCCAGACCAAGCACGACCGACACAGTGTGCCTTATTTGGCCCAAAGGTCAAAGGTCAAAAAGTGTGCCAGAACCTGCCCCGCACTAACTACTACCGCCCATGATGCGCTGTGAACCTTGTCACGCCCATTTTTGTGCTCTCTCGAAAGGGTCCAAGTATTCAAAATAGGTCACTTTTTTTATCTGGTCACCAATGGTCAATCCTTCGGTCAGTTACGTTTTCGGTTTTCAACAGGGTTCTTTTTCCCGCAGATCTACCTGTAACATATTCAGTTACCTTCGGTGACTTCTTTCACTTGTGATTTTTTCTCCTCCCCTCCCCATTACTATTATTATTATTATTATTAAATTTGTCATGTCGCTCGCATGTATAAAAGAAGGCGCCATCGCCTGTTTGTGTTGCGAAAATTCAACAACAACAACAAAGCATTCGACAAAGTCCGCCACACGCAGCTCATTGACATTGTCGATCTGTTTGACGTCAGTGTGTGCGGATCGGCCCTCACGATCACCTGGTTTGCCAGCTACCAAACTGCGCGCGAGAGCAGATGGTCTGCATTGGGCCAACCACGAGTCAGGCCACCCCCTGCACGTGTGGTGTACCACAAGGATCTGTGCTAGGTCCTGTTGTAACAGTGTTACCTGCTGTTCACACTCCTATCCCCTCTATCCACGGCCCTTCGGCCTATCACCTACCATCCCGCCTATCTAGTTGACACCTTTACATCATATATAACCCTGTGCAGTACGAATAAAGATGATTCTTTTCCTCAACCCGCAGTAGCCGGTTACACTGGTAGCAAAGAGGATGATTTCCATCGACCTGACTAGTACTGGCCTTCCGCTCTTGCTGACCGTCATCTCCGTGACAGCGTACCTGGCTCTACAAGAGTTGCGACGACTCGTGGCCGCCATCACTCCAACTCCTGCGAGACCATTTCAAGTCCCATCCAGCCCAGGGCTAAGCACCAGGGAACACCCTCGCGATAATATTACCAAGCGCCATGTCAAGGAGCCCCCAGCATTTCACGGTGAGGCAGATTTGTTTCGGGAGTGGGTATTTAGCATGGACTTAGCTATAAAAGCCATAGGATTTGCGACACAGGAGGAAGAAGTTACTTATGCCTCGAGTTTTCTTGTGGGCAATGCCCGCCTATGGCTTATTTCGAACATGGAGGCTGGGGAACACTACATCAACTGGCCCACGCTAAGGGATGCACTAGGAAGTGTGTATGGCCCGCATTTCAGCAATGAGCAAAATCGGTTGAATTTATTTAGTGCTCGTCAGAAGGACACCGTTGCATCATTTATCACTGACTTTAATCGTCTCAGCCTGCAGGTACCTGAGTTAGACGAACACTCGCGCGCCCTGCTGTTTGTCAACGGACTCGGGGGCCATTTGAGGCGTGAAGTACTCAAGGAGCATCCGACAACACTGTCGAAGGCTATACAAGCAGCACTGACCGTAACGACCGAGAATCGACACCAACCAGATGGCATAGCTGCAGGATCGCCAAATATTCGAAGACCAACCAGACTGTCGTCAGAAGACCGTAATCGCTTGATGAGTGCTGGCAGATGTTTCGCTTGCCGACAGCAGGGACATTTAGCCCGAGATTGCCCGCGAGTTCACCACCACCCAAACGCTGGACGCCAGTGACAGCGGTGCGATCACTGGCGCTGAGAAGAGCACCACCCTGTCCCACTGCCGCTCCAATCGCCACGAAGAATCGCTTCAGTGACTTATTGGTTGACGAAGTCGATTGCGGAGAAGATGAGCCTGCCGCGGATGTTGCTGCTGCTACCACTACTAGTTGTGTTGATTCCAAAAAACATGTTAAGAAGAGCCGCGAAGCGCACGTCGGCAGTGTCGTCGCTGAAAAAGAGAACGAGCTACTACGGGTGGAAGCCAAACTGTACGGCCGTGCAGCGACAGTGTTGATCGACTGTGGATCAACCCACGACTTCATTTCTGAGGTGTTCGTCCGAAGACACAAGGTGCCAACAGAGTTGGGATCGGAATTACTGAAAGTCACATTAGCGGATGGAAAAACGAGCTCACACGCTATGGAGACCACGAATGCCATAGATGTTGTTGTCAGCGACTCCAAGGAGAAACAGCAGTTTACCGTCTTTCCCCTCGCCCGCTACGACGCGATATTGGGCAGGCCCTGGTTGACTAGGAACAACCCACGAATCAATTTCCGGACCAACGAAATAATCGTGGACGGGAATGGCCTGCCAAGTGCACCTTCTCAGGACAAGGACGGAGACTCGCAAATCGAAAACATGTTCATTTCTGGCTGTCAGGCCAGTCATGCGCTCAGAAACGGCGAACAAGGATTCCTAGCATGGGTCACAGCTGAGGACGACTCCGGTCTTGATCCACCTCTGAGTATCCCCAACTCTAACAAGCCCGAAGTTGCTGACTTGCTTCGTGAGTATTCCGATGTCTTTCCTGATGAACTGCCGGACGCACTTCCACCTGAAAGATCCGTAGATCATGAGATTCGGCTTGAAGAGGGTGCACCGCCGCCGTCACGTCCAGCCTATCGTCTCCCCAAGCCTGAAATGGACGAGTTGAAGTCGCAACTGGAGCAACTACTCGCAAAGGGTTTTGTTGAGCCTAGTAAGTCCCCGTATGGCGCACCCGTGTTCTTCGTAAAAAAGGCAGATGGCAGTTTGCGCATGGTATGCGACTGGAGGGATCTTAAAGGGGAAGTATACCCTAAAATCAAATTTTCACCAGTTGTAGTCTTCTGGGTGCTGAGTCGAATGGTCTTGGTCCGAGGAAGCTGCGACGCTCCCTTCCTACTTGAATGCCAATCGAACTCGCGCACTTCCACCGAAACTGGGTGACTGCGCCCTACTAGATGGGGATTTGTATGCAAAATGTCACTAAAAGCGCCATTTCGTTCTTATAAAAGCACGGATGACCGCGATTGGCCCATATGTTGTAGTCTTTTGGACGCTGAGTCGACTGGTTTTGGTTCGAAAAGGCTGCGATGCAGCGTTCCTCCTTTATTCCCAATCGAACATGGTTGAACAAGCGGTCACGTGCTCCTGCGTACACCAGTCAGCTGGTCACCGTGCCTGCAGGGTACAACTTACTAGCCTGTTTGACCTTTTTTGGGTGCAGTCCTGTCACTCGAGTTGAACTCGAGTTGAACCTTGGTGTGAAAGTTGTCGCCTGCTGGCGCGGTGACCAGGTGATTTGGGCACCCAGGAGCACGTGACCGCTTGTTCAACCATGTTCGATTGGGAATAAAGGAGGAACGCTGCATCGCAGCCTTTTCGGACCAAAACCAGTCGACTCAGCGTCCAAAAGACTAGAACATATGGGCCAATCGCGGTCATCCGTGCTTTTATAAGAACGAAATGGCGCTTTTAGTGACATTTTGCATACAAATCCCCATCTAGTAGGGCGCAGTCACCCAGTTTCGGTGGAAGTGCGCGAGTTCGATTGGCATTCAAGTAGGAAGGGAGCGTCGCAGCTTCCTCGGACCAAGACCATTCGACTCAGCACCCAGAAGACTACAACTGGTGAAAATTTGATTTTAGGGTATACTTCCCCTTTAACAAAATTACTGTGAAGAATAAGGTTTGCCTGCCCAATGTGGATGATCTATTTGACACAGTCCAGGGGAACACGTATTTCACGAAGCTCGATTTATCCCTTTGAGAGCCGATTGAAAATTTCAAAATTCTGCATATTTTCATGTTCTTTGGGACGTAACTTCAGTTCTACTCACTCAATCTTCACAATCTTGGGCTTCCTGGAAAGGTCTCCGCGAGAGGAAGAGACTGAGGTCACGCATGATGACCAGGACGCCATATCTCCAGCGCCGGAGAGCAGCGAACTAGCGAAAACTGCTTGAAATGCGTGCACTTTCGTCCTGCTCCAGCATTTTCATTTTTCTTGATCGCAGAGTTTCGATTTTTTCGCTGTGTACCCTTGGAAATACTACCAGTGAAACCCACGCAAATTTGAGTAACTCAGCGCGAGGAAAAGTCTCAAAATTCTCAACTTTCAAGTTGCACTCCCACGCTTTTCAAGTGCCGCGATCGCGGCTGAACTTACGAGTGATTTAT